TCAGCCCTTTCGTAGTTTCCCTTTAAGTCTTTCTAAAAGTTCGTCCACAACCAGTGTCCACAACAGGGGAGAGAGCCCCCCCCCCCCCCCCCATTTATAGGCAATGATTTGAGAGTTCTGAAAACCCGATAAGAAATATCTCCCGTTCTTGGTATCTAATTCACTCCGCAGCCGTCTGCATCCTCATTTCCGATACCGACACTATTGGGCATATAGCGATTAAGTCCTTGCCGACCTCAGGTATTTAATTCTGTGGATAACGACGAATTTATGATTTTTGCGAGTCACTCATAAACTCTGTCACCATGTCAATTTCGTAATTCTCAGACTAAAAATGTTACATTAGCTCAGAAATCTGTAAGCTTTTCTCTACGAGAGTTGAATTGAGTTGAAGGGTACATAATTTTTTTAGACACATTAAGGCCAGTAAAGGTAGCGAAAGCTTTACTCTACATATATTTGTAGATTTATGTATGTCCGTGATGAGCACCGGCTATTTCGCGAGTGGAGCTTTTTGAGCTTAATGTATGTACTTTCGTATAGACGGTAGCAGATTAAAAAATTTACAGAGATCTCAAAAAAGCTTTGCATGGGAAAGAAGTGGGAACCATCAGCACTTTTGACCAATGATGAGCATTCGAAACAGGCATATTTAAAAAACACCTTTTATTTTTGCTGATGTCTCTGATTGGCTCACAAATTAGAAACAATTTTAAAGCTTCTCATTGAGACGAGTCGTGGAGTCATGCCTTATAAGTAATATATTTGTTAATGATTTTACATTTTCAGTTACAGTTTGAATAATTGAATGCCTCTTAATTTGTTTGCTACTGCTTAAAGCTCAGTTAGACTAGACTTAACTTACTTAGCGTTACTAAATGTCATATTCTGGCCAACATGTTTAAGGAGAAACGGTGTTGGCGGTTAGACAAACATTTACTTAGATACGTGCGATGAGCGAATCCGGCTCGCCACATTTTCGTTTTTGTATTTTTTTTTTTTGATGTGGCATTATATGCGGCAAACTGTCTATCTTCTGAAAAAGAAAATTCTAATTTAAATTAAGTCTAGAATAACTGAGTTTATATTTAAATGATAATTTTTTTTCTAATATAACTTAATGCCCCTCTAAACATGTAATCCGCCCACAGCCGCCATGCATATCCATACCAACGTGTTTTTCTTCATAAAGTTTCTCATCTCGCCTAAATGCTTTTACTACTATCACGCTCTTTTTTCTCTACCCTAACTTACTTATCTACTCTCGCCAAACTGTTCCCGTTTAAAACAATTCACGAACAGCTTGAATGCCGCATGCTTAACTAAATACTTTTAATTGTACTTTCAATCACTGCAGTCAGTACTCATTAAAGCGCTCAGTATAAAACCCTACGAACTCCTTCAAGTTGCGCATGCGCACCGAAGAGTTTCAACATTCAAATTTTGCAAACAAAAACCATAAAAAAAAAAAATCACCAAATCACTTTTGCGCGCAAGCTCGTGCTTCAAGCTCGACTCGACTTTTCTTCCACCATTCTCCATTTCAAAGCAAATTAGCCAAACGAAAGCTAAAATAAAACTATGTAAATATATTGTACTTGTCTCTATTCCTCTATATGTTGTTATCATCTTTGTTGTAACTGGGTTTTGCAAACTACACTTGCAAAAATACTTCAGCGCAAACCTTTCTTGCTGGCTAACACCGACTGACTACCAATATCGGAATATTTATATGACCAACTGTTTTGCACTTTGCGCACAGAATCATTTTCAAAACTTCACAAATCCACACGAAAATGTTTGGTATGTAGAAAAAACAAATAAATTGCGAATTTTAATAAAAAAAAACTGTAGCATGACAAATTAAACGCCGAACGTGTTCAACACTGTTTGGAGCACACAAACTCTCTGAACAAAAAAAAAAAAAAAAAAAAAAAAAGCGAGCGGTTCTATGCGTGCGTGTGTGTAATGCTTTCCAATTTCATATTGCAGTTCGTATCACTATCCCACCCATGTCGGACTGCCAACAGCTAGCCAGCACCTACAAATGGGCGGCGGCGGTGGCACCACACCGAGGTAAATTTGAGCAAAAGCTTCTAATACTTACAGCCGCACTCAGAGTTGTTTAATGTTTAAGTAATCATTAGTAGCGTTAACTACAACATTTAATGAATTTTAAAGTTAAGTAAAGAAAAACCGTTACTTAACTCGTTAACCAACTACATATTAAGGATATGGTTTTGTTTGTTTTAAATAAATTTCGATTTCGCTCACGTTGCTGCAGCAGTCGCAATGGCGTGTCATTCGGGAGATCCACGGATCACATATTTTTTCTTTTACTTTGTAGATTTTATTGTTTTAAAAAGGAAAATAGTTTTTGTAATTTAATTTTCAGAAACTTAATTTATCTTTTTCTAACAAAAACTTGGTTTGATTTTTAGATTTTATTGTGTAAAAATATAAGTTTATACATATATGGGCAAATCTAAAAAATAGGTACACTTTCAAAAAAAAAATTTTAATTTTTAAATTTGTGCGCACACCTTTGTTTTACATATCATTTTATTCGTAATCTCTTAATGAATCGATTAATATAAGTGTAATTCATTTTCATCAAATGCTTTAAAAGTTAGACGAGAAATAAGCATGAAATAGAAAACAAAAGAATAAGCTGGGTTGAAATTACACTGTTCAAGTTGTAAACTTTGAGCAAAGATTTTGAAAGTTGAACTCACTTAATTGGGATGTTCTAAATTCAATGGCATGCCATGTTTTATCAGATTGGCTCCGGTTTTCGAGATAACGGTACTTGAAAATTTGATTAAATTTTAACTATTTTATAAAAAACTCCCTCAGTTTTAAAGTTATTTTACTAAAATTTTGCGCATAAAAGTTTTTTAATATTACCTTAATTATTCCTTAAAATTATCGAAATAGGTTAACATTAACATATAGCTCCAATACAACTGATTACTCAGTGCGCTATAACTCTAACTTCATATCTGAATAATAAATTGTATGCGTGCTATATGTTAAATTGAACCTATACTAAATTTTAACCTGTTTAAGTGAAGGAGTTATAACGCAAAACAACGTCTCTGATCAATCAGTTGTATGGGAGCTATATGTTTTAGTGATTTCGATGATTTTATGGAATAGTTAAGGTAATATTAAAAAACGGTTATGTGCAAAATTTTAGTAAAATATCTTCAAAACCCAGGGACTTTTTTTATAAAATAGTTAAAATTTAAGCAAAGTTTCAAGTACCGCTATCTCGAAAAGTGGAGCCAATAGGGTGAAACTGAGGACGCCATTGAATTTAGAAGGCTCCAGTTAAGTAAGAGCAACTATCAGAACATTTGTCGAAAAACAGTAGCTTTGATACCATTCTCGAAATATTCTGACTAAAAGAAGGAGCATCATTAAATGTAGTAAATCAGGGTTTTTACACATTTCTAGAGACAAATTTTTTGAAGCATTTTACATGTATATGTAATTTTATAAGGACTAGCAGTTATAGAAAGATTTAGATCGTTTCGTCGTATTTTCCAAATGTGCCTTCAATTAAAGTGTTTTTGGAATAAAAATTACGGTCAAGATCGCAGAATATTTTATCTTAAAAGTTAGTTTATTCTGAAAGCACACCTCTTGCTAAGGTATCAAATTATTCGTAATTGTTTGTAGAATACAATACATACTTAAAAAGTTCTTAAAATTAAATGCTTCAAAACCTATACGCGATAAACCGAAAATTTTGAAAATTCTGAAATGTAAAGTTACAGACTTTGAGTTACTTGCCATTTCGTTTTTTAATGCACACCTTTCTTACCCACTACGTATGAAGTGTACACATAAGTGCTAAACGCCGATTTAATTTCAAATCAAAATATGGTGTGCTTCAAAAATTATGACATAACTAATTGTGCCCCTCTTAAAAATTGCATAAAAAATTCACCTGTTTTCATTATTTTTCTTAATTTAAACACCTATAATTCAAAAGTTATGTAGCAAATTGATCCAAATTTTTTTTAAGTATACGTCAGTGAATTATATCCAAAAGCAACCAGCTTGATTTAGTTTACAACAGTGAAAATAGAGCTAAATAACACAAAGGTTTCCTGTTTTTTAGATTTGCCCATATATATCTTTTTAATTTATTTAATCTTTAGAAGCATATTTTATCTATATATTTTTTTACTTAACTTTCTTAAACTTTTTCGATTTTATTCTGTCAGAATGATATACATTTTTAAAATTTAGTTTTATCTTTAGAAACATATTTTATGTTCTTTTATATACATATTATGATTTTTTTTTAAGAATTTTCTTTTTATTTTTAGATTATATTGTTTTGAAATGAAAAATATATATATTTGTAATGTCATTTAATTTTCAGAAACTGTATTAAATATTATTTAACTAAAATTTTTATTTTTTTTACATTAAGAAAAATATTTTTTGTTTAGTTTCATTTAATTTTTAGAAAGCTAAGTTAAATTTTTTAATAAAATTTTTAGATTTTACTATCATTTAATTTTCAGCAACTGTTTTTATGTAAAACAAAATTTATTTAATTTCATTTAAAATTCGGGAATTCATTTTAGTTTTTGCTTTTTTTCAGTTAAATTTTTTGAATTAAATTTTCTTTTAATTTTTAGTTTTTATTGTTTTAAAAAGAAAAATATATTTTTTGGTTTCATAATTTTTAGAAAACTACGTATTATGTATATTTTTCTTTTTTTAATTTGGTTTTCATTCAATTTTTAAACCTGATTGTTTCACAAAGATTTTTTTTCTGAATTAAATAAAATTTTTATAAACTTATTTTAATATTTTTTTTAAATTTCAATCTATTGTTTTTTAATTTGATTTTCACTTAATTGTTAGATTTTATTTTAATTTACTTTTTTAATTTCTTTTTTAGAAACTTATTTTATTTATTTTTAATTTTTTTTTCAATTTCATTTATTTCATTTAATTTTTGGAAAACTATACTTTAATAATAAGTTACTAAGAATTAAATGAACTTTAAAAATTTGTTTCCTTTTTGAAACAATGAAGTCTAAATATTAAGAGGTTAATTATGGTAATAATTATGGAAATAAACAAAAAAGACAGAAAAGAAAAAAAATAAATGAGATTCCAAAAATTAAACGAAAAAATAGCTACCCGTTAAAAAAATTTATTTATCACATTTAAAAAAATATATATGTTTTTTTTTAACAATAAAAATAAAAAAAAACATAATTAAAAAGACAAAATAAGTTTCTAAGAATTTAATGAAATAAAAAAAAAATGTTTTAAAATCAATACAATCTATATTTAAAATTAAAAAATTTTAATTACAAAAAGGGTAAAATAGTTACTAAAAATTTAATTAAAATGAAAAAAATATATATGTTTTATTTCATAAAATTTTAAAAATTAAATACAAAAAATAAAAAATTAAGTTAAAATATAAATAAAATCTGAAATTAAAAATGTATATTTTTCTTTTTAAAACAATAAAACCTAAAAACAAAAAAATTTAATAAAAACTAAATGAAATAAGTTTGTAAAAATTAAATGAAATTAAGAAGAGTTTCTTTTTAATACGATCAAATCTAAATATAAAATAAAAAAATTTAATTAAAAAAAAGATAATTGTTGCTAAAAACTAAATTAAACTTAAAAAGTATATGTTTTTCTTTAATATAATGTAAAAATGGAAAGAAAATTAAAAAAAAATTTAAAAAATGTCGCTGTCCGACGAATCGAACTCGGATCCCTCGAATGGCACGCTAGGGCTCTGCTCACTCGGCAAAGCAAAAAAATTATAAAAATATTTATTTCTATATTTAATTTTAAACTGAAGGAAAAAAGCGAGTGATGCACCAAAAAAAGGGCGGCAACTGGTGCCATACTTAAACTTTTCATAGCTAATGAGCCCTTATATATTAACCCTCATTTAACGATCATAAGTTAAGTGCTCGTTAGAGCTAATTTAATTAATGATTCTGAGTGCGGCTGTTAGTAGATACAATTTTATGAAAAAAGTGAACAGCTCTCCTACACTCACTCTTACTCACATGTGTTTATTTCTCACTCTTTCTTTCTTCCTCGCTTATGTCCTGCTCCTTCTATCCTGCTCTCTTTCTCACTTTATTCTCCACCACTTCCTTCATATCTTACTCCCTCTCTCAAAAACTCGCTTTTTCCTCTCCCTCTCTTTTCCGTTTCTCCCTTTTTCAGAACCAAGCATGTCAGTTTCGCCCGCTCGCATACACTCACCTCCTTCGACGATGTCAATTTGGGGGGCTTTCGTTCCTCCGGTCGCATGAAGACCGCTCGCAGCCAAGAGCGTCTTATTGGCGGCAAGAAACCGATCATTGCCACAGGCTCGTTGTACGAGTCTATACAGCTGCCACCGCAAGTGGGGCAGCC